GGGGCCCTGGCATCATGGCACCCCAAATTCTCCCTCAGCCAGCCCACTCAGGTTTGCCTGGGGGAGGACCCAAAATCTGCAGCCCATCTAGGCTTCAGGTCTGTCTGGCCGCAGGTGCACGGTGCTCAGGGAGTCTCAGTTCCGTGTTTCCGTCCCATAAATGTGTGTGACCGAGTGGGTCTCCAGACTCACACCCGCCCTGTTACTCAGCGAAGACACATGCCTGCCCCAGAGTTGGCCCGCGCACTGGCCCTTTGTGACTCCAGCCTTCGCGGCAGCAGCACTTGGGATGCGGCAGGGCTTGGGAGTGTCCGTCAGTAGCCTGACTGCCCCGCTGGCCGCAGAGAGGCCCTGTGTGTAGGGGCGGCCTAGTGGAGCCCGACTGTCGGAGGAGGCCCAGCATCAGCTGTTTCTTGCATCTTTCTGGAACTCCAGAGTCTGCTGTGTTCTGTAGCTGCCTCCTGTGCCTGTCACTCCACATGGGGTCACAAAACCGCAAGGTGGAATGACCCCTGTCCAGTCTTGGAGACCAGAGGAGGTGGCGCTGTCCTCTGAGCCCTGAGACGCTGACTTGCCCTGCTGAACCCCAAGAAAGGAACAGGAAACAGTAGCAGAGGCTCCAGGGAGGCTCGAGGGATCCAGAGCCAGCTGGGGGCAAAGCATGCTTGGCAGGCCTGGCTTCATCTGACTGGCAGGAAACCCAAATGGAAAGAAAGAAAAAAACGACATTTATAGAGCATGGACCTGTGTCAGGGTCATTGCAGGATGCTTTGACGCCATGGGTCAGCCAGGTCTCCCACAGGGGTGCAAAGAGATGACCTCTTTCTTTACACCTGAGAAGACTGACACCCAGAGACGCTAAGTAACTTACCAAAAGGCACACACCTAAGTCACAGCATTGGGGTTTAAGCCAAACCCTCCAGACTTCTGTAACAATGAAGGTCAGTGCTTACTGATCATTCATTGTGTGCCTGTGTATGTTCCCCGGCCCATTGTACAGATTAATGAAAAGGAAAACTGAGGCATGGGCTGGTGGAGTAACCTGCCAAGGGCACAGGCAGGGTTCAGATCTGGTCATTGTAGCCATTGTAGACTCCCTGGTGCCTCAGGAGCTGCTGGACATGGCAGGATTTGCCCCCAGCTTGTTCTTGGAAGCAGGCAGAGCCCTTGGGTGGCCTGGCACAAGCCTGGGGTGGGCTGGCAGGTGAGCACAGCGTAGGTGATGTCAGGTCAGAGTCAGATGCCCTTTCAATCAGATGAAACGACTCCTGGGGTCAGTGAGGGTCCATCCCTAAAGGTGCTCTTGTGCTGGGGGCTGGAGATGGGCCAGTTCCTGCCCAGGAGTGGAGGCTGGGAGTAGGCTGAGCTCTGGAGAGCCCTCGTGGACCCTCCAAGGATGCTCCTTGAACACCTCTAGGTGTTGGACCGTCCGTCTCTGTCCACAGGTGGCAGCTGGCCCCTCCTCCCGGTGGGAGGACTTGAGTGCCACCTTGCAGAGCTAAGGACTCCAGAGTTCAGGTGTCCAGAGGTTGGGACCGTTAGGTGACAGACAGGGGAAGTGACTCTTAGGCAATGAGCCATCTGAACCACCAGAGGCTGACAGGGGCCTGGGTGAGGCCAGCCAAGGGCACACGAAGGCCAAGCTAGGACCCTGGTCAGCGCAGGCACGCTCAGGACCACGGAGAGCTCCAGGAGAGCTTCCTGTCACCTCGGTGACAGCTGTCACTGGGAGTCTGTGCCCCAGCGCCCCTGCTGCCTGCTTGGCTGACTGCTCTGTCACAGCCTCCGGAGTGCACCTGCCCATACTCAGCCTGAACCCTGACTCTGAGGTCACGGCTGGGTCATTGTGATGGTCAGTTTTAGATATCATCTTGGCTGGGTTAAGGGACACCTAGAGCAGGGGCCGTGTGTGACTTCTGAGCGTGTCTGGGAGTGTGTCACTGGAGGAGATGGCGTGAGTGGTGGACGGAGTGGGGACAATCCACCCTCAGGGCGGGGAACAATCCAACCGCCTGGGGACTAAGGGTACAAAAAGGCAGAGAAAGCATGTATTTCTCCTGCGACCTGGAGCTGGGACATTTCTGCCCTTGGATGCCAGAACTCCAGGCTTTCTGGCCTTGGGACCTCCTGACTTAACACCAGGGACCCCTGTCAAGTTCTTAGCCCTCTGGCCTGGGACTGAGAGTTACACCACCAGCTTCCATGGTCTTGATACCTTAGCCTTGGACTAAGCCACACTGTGGGCATCCCAGGGGCTTCAGCTGGTGGACAGCCCCCCATGGGACTTCTCTGCCCTCACAATCGTGTGAGCCACTTCCCTCATCTGTTCTCACCTGTCTGTCTGTCTTTCCAGAGGTAGGGAGAGGGGAGACAGCGTCTCTGCTCGGCTTCCGGGGTGTGGCTGCAGGCTCACGATGCTGCAGTCCTGGCTCAGCCTCCACCTGCTGTGTCAAGGGTGAACCCGTCTCCAGGAAGCGCCTGTCCCGTTCCTGTTACCTCCACACACTCAGACAGGAGACACAGGCCCCTGGCCTGGGGTACAACTTACTGGGGTGTGGACGGTGTCCTTTGGGGTGGCCTCCCAGGGAGCCTCCAGTCCTCCCTTCCTGGAGCCCCGGGGAAGGTGGTGCTCTTTCTCAGCTTGCATCCGTCTTGGAGGCTCAGTGCTACCCCAAGCTCTTCTCTTTGTCACTGTGAGGCAGGAGAGCACCTGCCCAGGCCGAGGTCCTGCCTGGGCACCACTCCAAACCTTTGCTGCTGCTTTGTCCACCCATAGGCATCCTGTCCTCTGCCAGGCTGGGGAATAACAAGAGGTAGACGGGGGAGTGCTTACTGAGCACTTACAGTGCGCTGTGTGGACTTTTATCCACCTGTGACTCTCTTGAGGAGTAAATGGAGCTACAGTCGAGGAATTAATTTGCCCAAGGCCACACAGGAACTGGCAGGGCTGGGATTTGAACCTGGTGTTCTGTGCCCATGGAAGTGACAGTGAGGCCCAGCATGTTGGTGCAAAGCTGTGATCCCAGCACTTGGGAGGCTGAAGCAGGAGGATCACTGTGAGTTTGGGGCCAGCCTGGGCTACATAGTGAGTTCAGGGCCAGCCTGGACTACATAGTGAGACACATCCCTCAAACAAAAATGACAGTGAACACCCCTGACAGGCTGTCTGTCAGCGAGAGATTCTGGGTGCTGGCTGTGTGGCTCAGGTCACGGCCAAAGGCCTTACAACTCAGAAGGTTACTGGGGTTCAAACCTGGAGTTCTGATGTCCAAGGGCTCAGGAATTCTTCCTCCCTCTGCCTTTTGGTACCCTGTGGGCAGATCCTCTCACTTTGTCCACCATGGACACGCCTATCTCCAGTGACACCTTGCAGACCCCCTGGGAAGTAACACATGGCCACTGCACTAGGTGATCCCAAACCAAGCATCGTAGCTACCTTCTCTGGTAGCCTGCCCTGACACCCACCCTACTTACACTGAACCTTTGCTTTCTTTGTTTTTCCCCGGAGCTCTGGGTTTTTGTTTTGTTTTTTAGAATTTTTTTATGTATTTATTGATTTTTTATTTAGACAGAGCCTTGCTACAGGCCTCCTCAGCCTACCAAATGCTGAGATTCTAGGCACGCGCCACCACACCGAGCTGCAGAACTCTTTCTAAAGTACAATCCCATTTGGCTGATTTAGTTTTAGTTTGTCGCAGCCTTCCCGAGGGCGAGGGCTTGGGTCAGCTTGACTCCTGGCGTCCCCTGGGCCTGGCCAGGTGCCGCTGCAGCGGGCACTCAGGAAGCACTTGCCGAGTGGGTGACCAGTGCAGGTTGGGTGAGCACTTGTGTGAGGGAAGCACGATGGTGCCTCTTCTGTCCCAGAGTGTGCTGGTCACAGGTGGGCTCCTCGGGGGCCCCTGCCATCCCAGATGCACTGAATGTGGCAGACAGAGGGGCTCAGGAGGGCGTTGCCATTGGCTGGAGTCCCATCAGTGCCCCGTGGAACAAACTGGATCCTGACTAGGTGCACCTGACATTATGCAAGTTACATCATCCCTCTAGCCTCAGTTTCCTCATCTGTAAAATGGGGGTGATGAGGGTACCTGCTTCCTGTGGGCTGGTACTCCCAATGCATTCCTCGTGCAACACAAGCTGGCTTGTAGCCATCAGTGACAGACTTGAGGGTCACACCTGACGGTTTCTCGATGACACTCTGTTGAGATGTTACCTGCTGGGGCCCAGTGTGCTTCTGTAACCTTTGCCAGAAACTGGTCCCCCTGACCTAATGCAAGAGAGGTTCTGGCTTGGGAACCAGTCTCACACGCAAGTCCCAGCTTAGCCATTGTCAGGATGTCCTTGGGGAAAGCCTTGTCATTTTTCCACTCTCAGTGTCCCCATCTGTAAAAGTAGAGTGGTTACAGTAGCCTCCCTGAGGGGCTGGAAGGCATAAATGGGTCCTGCGTGCCAGTGGCAATTTATGTATTCTATTTTATTTCTATGCTGCCTCAGGAAGAAAGTGTACCGAAGCATTTAGCAAAGTAAGAGGAATTTGGCCAAGGAGAATAAGGGTTGAAAAAACAGATGAAACCCAGTGTGGTGCTACTCTCCTATAATCCCAGGACTCTGGAGGCTGAGGCAGGAGGGTGGCCACACGTTCGAGGCCAGCAGGAACTACATAGTGAGGCCCTGTCTCAAAAATCCCAAAACAAGAAAGGAAAAAAAAAGAAAAAGAGTCTGTAAGTGAACGAGCCCAAGAAAATGTGGTCTTTGAGGCCCTGCTGACTTAATGCAGGCTGACTTCCCTGAGCTCTTGAGCCCCTAGCAGTAAGGTATATATGTTTAGTTCTGTGATTCTCTTTATCGAGGGCCTTGCCCTGCAGCCCGTGAGTCAGAGGGGTGCTCCCAGGCACTGATGAGCCTGTGCTTAGGACGGCACAGCTAGCGTAGTAACTAGATATCCCAAACCAGCCTGCCCAGGGAGCCCAGGGTCGGCTAGGTCGGTCTGACCGCTGCAGGTCTACAGAGACCTGTGTACCAAGCAGGGCATTCGCTCGCCTCTCTTACCTTGCATTTGCTGTTGTCTGGGGATTTTGTCTGAAAGGCAGCCCCAGCCTCTGCCCTTTCCACGGTGGGTGTCACTCTGGAGACTCCTGCTGTTTAGACCTTGAGGTGCAGTGTGTCGCAGTCCCCATCTGCTCATCCTGCTCACCTGGTCTGACTGGTCTCACTTTGCCAGGCCTTTAGCATCCTAGAGACAGGCACCTAGGGGACCCACTTCCTGCTGTTACCAGGGAGCAGCCCTGGCACCCCAAAACCAGTGGGGGCCAGCGCCACCTCTGCCCTGGGACAGCTGGCATTTAGCAGAGGTCTGCCCCCCACCCCAGTGTCCTCTCTGCCCATAGTCAGCTCCGACAGCCACCCTTCGGCAGCTTGTGGGGCACCACTGGAGGACGAGGGGGACGGCCCTGTCCCTGAGGATTAGCAGCTCAACACCTCCATACCAGCTGCTCACCACAGTGACCCCATGAGGGTCCCAGAAGTAAGAGCCCCCCACCCCTGCTCTGCAACTTCAGATAAGCCCCTGCAGCACCCTAGACCTGGTGTCCCCTCCAAACTGTTGGGTGAGCTGGTCCTCAACATCTGACTTCTAGGTCAAACTTTCCATGATTCTGCACCTTGTGGCCTGTAGCTCAGAGGAAGTTGTGTCGTGGGCTTCAAGCTTTGAGTAGTGAAAGAACAAAAGCTTCCTAAGCACCCAAGCACACCAGGAACTCTGTACCCATGTCACAGATGTGGAAACAGGTTCTGCGTGGTGAGAAGAGCATGTAAGGTCATGGCAGTTTGAAACCAAGTGTGTGTCCACTTTCCCCTGGTGCCCCCAGCTAGGATGACAAGGGGCAGCATGGCAGGAGGGCACCCAGATGACTCAGAGAAGCACAAATCACAGAAGCACAGGATGTACTAGGAGGAAGGACGGTGCCGGGTGCCAGCGGTCAGGTTTCTATCTATCCCAGCCTCTTCTATGACACAGTGTGTCTCCTCGACCCAGAAATTGCTGATCTCACTCAGCCCTGCCAGCTCTTTCATTAGTGAGGTGGGTGTAACCTGGCCCACCTGCCCATCAGAAGCGCTGTGTCCCGCACAAGCTCGGTCACAAGGTAAGCACATTCTTGGCTGGGGATGTAGCCCAGCGGTACAGTGCCAGCATCCTCCAGGGCCTGGGTTCTGTCCCCAGCACCAAAAACCACACCACAGCGAAAAATCCCAATAAAGCATGGAGTTTGGCTCATGTCACTACCGGGATCCTCCTGTGACCAATGTACCACGGTGATGGGGAGAAGGGTGCAAGGGACCCTCTGTATTATCATTGCAGCTTTTCTGATAACTCACACATATTCTAGTTGAAAGTTTATTTAAATAAGTAAAAAGGAATATACAAGTATCTCCACTGCATAGCCGTAAATGAATTGATAAACTAAATAAACAAATTGGAAATGTTTATGTCATACATACTCATGAATAGTGGTTCATTCAAAATAAGCATGAGGTATTATGTGGGATTTAAAAGGAAATGGTAGATTTATTTGCACTAATAGGAAAATCTTTGCAGTCTGTCATTGATCGAGGAAAACAACGTGATTGGACTTCGAGTCTGGTATAATTGAACCGAGTGGAAAGCAGGGGCACCCCTTAGGTTGTTTATGCCTGGAGCTCAGGCTGGTAGAGAGCCAGGTGTGTTGGCGCACGCTTGTAATCTCAGCACACAGGAGACTGAGGCAGGAGGATCGTTGGGAGTTTGAGACCAGCCTGGGCTACAAAATGAGCTCAAGGCCAGCCCGGACTGCAGAGCGAGACCCTGTCTCAAAAACAGAGGCAAAAATAAAATAAAATAGATTAGAATTAAACGTTCTCTTGAAAGCTGTGAAATTTTTTCCAATGAAAACATATTAAGAATGTTTGTCGCTGGGCTTGGTGACATACGCCTGTAATCCCAGCACTCAAGGAGGACTGCCATGAGTTCAAGGCCAGCCAGGGCTACATAAGTGTGAGTTCAAGCCCAGCCTGGACTGCATAGCAAGACCATGTCTCAAAACAAAAAAAAGAATGTCAGTGGGCCCACAAAAAAAGACAACACCCCAATTCAACTTGAGTGCAAGGATTGGACCCACAGGGGCCTTCAAGCTCCCCAGAGCAGGGCCTGCCCTGGATTGAACTTTTCTGGGAGGCATTTTGCTCCCAGTTATGAGGCTGGTGGGACGGCCAAGTGGGTCTCAGGCTGCAGAGGTGCTTTTGGGGGCTGGGGTCTCTGGGGAAAGGGCTGTGGGCAGGAGGCAGTTACCTTGCTGCTGGGGCTTCCAGGAGACTTGGGAGCAGAAAGTGGGGGACTTCATGCAGGACCTTCTCAAAGGAGGAGGTGGTGGCAGCAAAGGCTCTGAGGCCCTGTGCCCCTAACTCTTAACCTCAAGTTGTTTTCTGTTTTTTGAAACCAGGTCTTGCTCTCTAGTTTAGGCTGGCCTTGAACTCGCTAGCCTGGGCTGGCCTTGAACTCTTGGTGATCCTCCTGTCTCAGCCTCTTGCATGCTGGGATTACAGGCGAGCACCAGCATGCCTGGCGCCTTAACCCTGGAGCAGTATCTCAGGCTGCCTGACCTTTTGCTGTCCCTTTCCCGCAGGATGAAGATGAGACGCTACAAGCTCTTTCTCATGTTCTGTATGGCCGGCCTCTGCCTCATCTCCTTCCTGCACTTCTTTAAGACCCTGTCTTATGTCACCTTCCCCCGGGAACTGGCCTCTCTCAGCCCTAACCTCGTGTCCAGCTTCTTCTGGAACAATGCCCCCGTCACACCCCAGGCCAGCCCCGAGCCGGGTGGCCCTGACCTGCTGCGAACCCCTCTTTACTCTCACTCGCCCCTGCTCCAGCCGCTGTCCCCCAGCAAGGCCATCGAGGAGCTCCATCGGGTGGACTTCGTGCTGCCCGAGGACACCACCGAGTATTTCGTGCGCACCAAAGCCGGGGGCATCTGCTTCAAACCAGGTACCAAGATGCTGGAGAAGCCGCCCTCGGGGCGGCCCGAGGAGAAGCCCGAGGGCGCTGACAGCTCCTTAGGAGCCCGAGGTCCTGCACGGCGCTCCCCGCGACGCGTGGTGAGTGCTCGGGAGCGCGCGGGCAGCAACCGGGGTGTGCGGCGCAAGTGGGTGGAGTGCGTGTGCCTGCCGGGCTGGCACGGGCCCAGCTGCGGAGTGCCCACCGTGGTGCAGTACTCCAACCTGCCCACCAAGGAGCGCCTGGTGCCCCGGGAGGTGCCGCGGCGGGTCATCAACGCCATCAACATCAACCACGAGTTCGACCTGCTGGACGTGCGCTTCCACGAGCTGGGCGACGTGGTGGACGCCTTCGTGGTGTGCGAGTCCAACTTCACGGCCTACGGGGAGCCGCGGCCGCTCAAGTTCCGCGAGATGCTGACCAACGGCTCCTTCGAGTACATCCGCCACAAGGTGCTCTACGTCTTCCTGGACCACTTCCCGCCCGGCGGCCGGCAGGATGGCTGGATCGCCGACGACTACCTGCGCACCTTCCTGACCCAGGACGGCGTCTCCCGGCTGCGCAACCTGCGGCCTGACGACGTCTTCATCATCGATGACGCGGACGAGATCCCCGCGCGCGACGGTGTGCTCTTCCTCAAGCTGTACGACGGCTGGACGGAGCCCTTTGCCTTCCACATGCGCAAGTCGCTCTATGGCTTCTTCTGGAAGCAGCCGGGCACCCTGGAGGTGGTGTCCGGCTGCACGGTGGACATGCTGCAGGCCGTGTACGGGCTGGACGGCATCCGCCTGCGCCGCCGCCAGTACTACACCATGCCCAACTTCCGCCAGTACGAAAACCGCACGGGCCACATCCTGGTGCAGTGGTCGCTGGGCAGCCCCCTGCACTTTGCTGGCTGGCATTGCTCCTGGTGCTTCACGCCCGAGGGTATCTACTTCAAGCTGGTGTCCGCCCAGAACGGCGACTTTCCCCGCTGGGGTGACTATGAGGACAAGCGGGACCTCAATTACATCCGGAGCCTGATCCGAACTGGAGGCTGGTTTGATGGCACGCAGCAGGAGTACCCACCTGCGGACCCCAGCGAGCACATGTACGCCCCCAAGTACCTGCTGAAGAACTACAACCAGTTCCGATACCTGCTGGACAATCCCTACCAGGAGCCCAAGAGCACTGTGGTGGGTGGTGGGCGGCGGAACAAGGGCCCCGAGGGCCGGCCACCAGCAGCCAGGGACAAATTGGACGGGGCTGAAGGCTGAGCCTGCGGGATCTCTAGGGCCCCCTGGCCCGGTGGGCTGGTAGCTGCCCCTGGTTGCCTTCAGCCTCTTCCTGCCGACTTGGGGTTCTTGAGAGACCAGGACTGGGTGGGTGGGCTCTCCCTACTCAAGTCCTTGTTTGTCAAGGGTTAGGTTTTTCAGTTAAACAAAACAAACACCTCCCTTGCTGCCAGGAGAAGGGAGCAAGCCCAGACATCTATGCAGCCCTTTTGCTACCAGGAGTGCTGTGGCCAGGAGGTGCCACTGGAGAGTGCATGATGGGCCCCAGGGACCGGGAGGAGCCCAGGAGAGGAGGAAAGGGACCCTGTGGGAACCTCCAGGGCTGCCCCGTGGTGGAGGGAAGCCTGCTTTGGCATCCCGGGGCTTTGGACCTGCAGTGGGGAGGGAGTCGAGCCAGCAGGTCCAGCTGTGTAAGTAGATGCATTCGGGCGCAGGAGCAAGGTGATCACCTCATGGGGAGCGGGCGCTGGTGACCACCGCTTGGTGTCCTCACAAGTGCTGGCCCAGATGAGGAGGAGGCCTCCCCCACTGCCCCACAGGACATCACTGCGCTGGGGGTGGTACCCAAGGCTGTCAGGCTCCTGTCCCCTGTAAGCTGACAAAGGCGTGTGGCCTGGGGAGCCCTGGGGATTCCTTCCGGCTTCAAACCTGGCCTTGATGTTCCTTCTTACTCTACATTGCTGTCGCCTGGGCTGCCTGCCCCGCTGCTTGCAGAGACCCCAGAAATCCAGTTCTCAGGGCAGGGCGGGTGCTGGAGGCTGTAGGGACACCCAGGGGTGGCGGGGGTGGCCTGGGGCGTGGCAAAGTGAAGACGGACATGAGACCGTCATTCTGCTGCTCCGCCCCTGTCACCCCCTCCTGCTGGCACCCACCGCCCCAAACTCACCACTATGCCTGGTGGAATCACACTTAGGCCACTCCTTGGGGCTGGCTAGTGGCCAGGAAGGAGCCACAAGGCTCTCCTGGGCCCAAGAAGGGACATGAAGGCCAGTTATATGTCAACCCATTCCTCTTAGTTTGCCTTGTTGGGGGTGGGAAGTCATTTGTTGGAGTAGATTCTAAGCTGCTGTAAGAGACCGTGAAATACAGAGGTTTGTGCAAGACGAAAGCTTGTTTCTGATTAAATTGTCTAGAGGGAGATGGGCCAGGACCAGTAGACAGCTCTGCCTTCCCTCATTCACACCTTCCAGTTCCGGATACAGAGTGGCTGCTCCAGCTCCCACTATCACTTGTACATCCCAGGGCAGAGAAAGGCAAGGAAGTGCACACCCTTTCCTGTTACGCCCACCAGCCAGAAAAGGCACGAATGCTTCTGATGGCTTCTCATGGGCCAGGACCTAGTCACAAGGTCACATAAATACAGCTGCAAGGGGACTGTGCCTGTGGGAAACCGCCTTATGCCAGACCTCAACTTGGGAGATCCGTGAAGGAGAAGAGGGTGAATGGGGGGGCAGGTTTCTAGGGGAGAGGCAGAAATGACTGCTTCAGTTGTAGGATCCTGCTCCTGCTCCTCTCCGTCTGCCCAAGGCCAAGTGCTGTGGCAGTGACAGGTGTGTGACCGGCAGAGAATGCCCGTCCCTAGGTACCCCCCCATGTTCAGTACTCCCCCCTGTGAGGCCAGTATGTGGAGGCTGCCTGTGGAATGGTCCATTTCCGTGTGTGCGTGTATATTTATGGGCATGGGTGCATGCTTGGTGTGTATTTGTACATGTCTGTATCGATGTGTCCCTGTACATAGGTGCCTGTGTGTGGGAGTGGGAGTCCGGCCCAGGTTTCCTCTTTCCAAGGTCCTGGAGCCTGTGGCTACACTTCCTGGGGCTCCCCAGGGTGACTGAGGTGGGAAGCCATTGGGGAACCTAGAAAGCAAGATGAAAAGGATGTGGGGTCTGTCTGTGTTTGTCTGTCTGTCTTCCAGTCTGAGGAATGAGAGTCCTCTATCCACTCAGCCCCGCTGGGCCCCAGCGTTGTCCTCCCACCTGACCCCTAGCTCCAGTGGGGCTTTTTCTGAGTGGCTCACTGGGGAGATAGATGCCTGATGGGTCGGGAAAGCTGGAGAACGCGGCTGGCTCAGCGTGACATGGGGAGCTGGCCCCGAAGCAGCTGTGGTGGGCAGGCCTGAAGCAGGGAAGGAAGTGGCAGAGGATCAGACCTGCCGGAGTTCAGACCCAGTGGGGAGGGGGCAGAGGGAGGCTGGGGTTGGGGTGGAAGAGTTTCCCACAGAACCACAGCCTATGCTGGGAAGGGGAGGGCGCCGGGGCCACGCCCACACCTAAGGAAACCCAAACAACATGAACACTGGCACACGGCTGCCCTGCCACCATCTCCATGTCTTTCCTGGGAACCTCTAGCCCCGTGGAGGCCTGTCCATGCCAAGCATCCAGCTGGCCTCGTCCATATGTGGTCATATCAGTTCTAGGGCCAGGCATAGGACAGCTTTGGGGACAGAGTTGAGAGTCAGCACGGGGACATGGGACTGTCCCCCGCAGAAGGCAGGGCCCTAGGAAACGTATAATTTAAGGACACCAATAATAATAGTATTATTTTTTTTGTAAAGGAAAATCAATATGTATATTCTGAAATCATTTTCTCTGTAAATGGTTGGATTTCATTTCACCCTTAAAGGGATGCTTAAAGGAGAAGATAATATTAATAATAAAAAACAGCTGTGAAGTCTGAAGGGCGTGCATACGGCTGGTTTGTGGGTGCTCCACGACAGGGAGGGGCAAGAGCGGTGGCTTCTTGTCCGGGCGCAGCTTCTCCTTCCCAGGGAGCCGGCCTTGGGCTTGTGACCGTGTCTGCAGCCTGGGATCTGAGGGGTTTCCTGGAGATCTTTTGGCCAGATGGGTGCTGCCATTTGTCTTAGGCCACCAGGTATGTTCCGAGGAACATCTCCGAGATTGAGGGGAGAGGCGCTCCGAGCCTGCCTGGGTCCCCTCTGGAGTGTCAGCCTTGTCGGCCCGAGCAGGGATTAATGTCTCCTGAGCAGTTGCCAACTGCCAGGCACCTTCCGTGTATCACCTGAGGGTTGGGAGGGACCGTGGGCTGCTGGCCATGCTCCCAGCGCCCAGGAAGGAGCTGCTGCAGGTGCCAGGGGTGGGCCGGGAACAGGGTTGGATTCCACAGGATGGAGACACTGGCGATTAGACACCCCTACCTAGCCAGAAGAGGGCGATGGTGACCCACTTAAGCTGAGTCAAGTTTACAATTCTCTAAAATTTGTTTCTATTAGCACGTTTGCAGCACTGACATTCATCGTGAGGAGTTGGTACATGTACATAATACATCTTAATTCTTTTTAATCTTGGTTCTCCCTCCATTCCTTAGTCTTCTTCCCACGGGTTCTTTTTATCTTTTTTTTTTTTTTTTTTTTTTTTGTAGTACATGTTTGCAGTACGTGTTTACATTCCTTGTGGGGATCTAACTTATTTACTTTCTGTCCCTTCCCGCTCCCTCCCTCTCTTGCTTCTCTTCCCACTGCAGAAGGATCTGTCGCCCTGCTTCCTATCACCTACCTTTTGTTTTGCACTTTATACTTTGGGTTCCTCATGTAAGAGGAACCAGGCGGTGAGTCAAGCTTGCACATCTGATTTATGTCACTTAATAGTATGGTCTCGAGGTGCAGCCATTTTCTCATGAAAGGCTCTATCTTTCTGAGTTTACAACTTTTAAATCATGTGCTATGGCAAATCATCATAATCACCCTCAATATTTACAGAGGGTGTAATCACCTTACAGTATTTATAGTAAGTGCTTATTTTGTGTCAACAGAGCCTTCAAGGACCTGCTTCCTCCAGTTAGGCTTCCACCACCTCCCAAAAACCCACTGAATTATCAGTCGATTAGTCCGTTGATGAGGCCAGAGCCCTCAAAATCCAATCACCTTCCAAAGGTCCTAACTCTGAATCCTGTTGCCATGGGAACCAGACCCTCAACACATGAGCTCTTAGGGACATTTCATATCCACACCAGAACATGAAGAGACACCACTACAGACACGAACTCCAACCTCACCTACCCACTGAGATAAGGTTCGAGAATCCCCCCATCCCCCGGCCATTTGGACCAGCTGCCAAAATGCATTGCCTGGATCTAGTCCCAAGGCAAACTTACACAAACCAATCCAAGCAACAACTTACACAAAACTGGCTTCTCTCCTGCACCCCTAATTCCTTGCGACCCTGTCCTTCCTGCATTGGCAGCCTAACCCTGCAGCAATATCATAAGATACTTTTCAAGCACCTAAACTGCAAAGAGCTTCTACAGGCAAAATGCCAACAATGACACAAATCTTCACGGCTGTAAAGTGTGGCCAACTTGCCCCATCCAGCTGACCAATGTGTGTGGTAGCCCACCTGAGACCAGAACCGCCAGGTCAAGTCTGGCCTGCACATTGATCTAGGCTCAAGAACTCGGTGAGCGTAAGCCCCTGAGCTAGGAGGTTGTTTATTACACAGCTGAACTGTGGCCAGAGATAACTGATTAGTAAGTGACAGAAGAGCCAACCCAAACTAGTGAGGCGGAGAGGGAATTTCTGGCTTGCTGTCAGTGAAGTTCAGGGCTAATGGTGGTTTCTGGTGCCACTTGAGGCTGAGCTCATTGTCACAGTGTCATCCACCTCTCTCTGGCTCAGGTCAGCACTGCTTCCCAATTTGTGTATCCCCATTGTCACAAAGGTTTACCCTTTGCATTAGGCAGCTTTCCATCACTGCAACAAAACACCTGAGATAGTCAACTATTAGGGAGGAAAAGTTTATTTTGGTTCAGGGTCTCAGAGGTTTCAGTCCATGATTGCTTGGTCCCATTGCTTTTGGGCCTGCAGTGAGATGGTGCCCAGGAAGCAGAGAGAGAAAAAGGATGGGCTGAGGTCCTCATAGCCCTTTCCAGTGCCCATCCTCACTGACTGAACTTCCTTCCATTAGGCCCCACCTCCAAAAAGTTCTACCACCTCCCATTAGAGTCACAAACCTTCCACACATGGGCCTTTGGAACACTTATCCAAACAACAGAACCCCTCATGCCTGCAAGATGGTTGCAGCAACTCCAGGCTGCACATCATCTTAGCTTCATACTCAGCACAGAAGAATTAGATCTCTTCTTTCTAAAAGTGCTGGGCCTGGATCTCATTAACTTTAATTAAGTCATATAAACATCCCTGAAGAGATCTGTTAAACTAGAGGCAGGTTGGGGTAGAATCTGACTCCTCAAAAGAAATGGAGGGCACACATGTGACCTTGGCACCTCAGCTGCTCCCACCCAGCCTTTCACCAGGCCCTGGCCCACAGCCTGCTTCATCTGCTGGGTCCTTACCTGTAGGACGGAGGACTTCACGGCACAGACCCTCAGAGGTGCTCGTGAGGCTGCTGTGGGCTTGGTCGAGCCCAGTGTCACCTCGTTCTGTCTCAATTTGGCGTCACGCGCCCTTCTCCAGTCTCCTTCCTTTGGCCTCTGTGACTCACCTGTCCCATGGCGCTCGTCTTCCTCTTCGCTCCCTGGCATTCCTTCCTGGTTGCCTCCCTGGGCTCGTTTCTCTCCTGCACCCCATCAATAAGGCGGCTCCCCAGGGCGTGGTCTTGGGCCACTGCTCGCCCCGCACTTAGTGCTCACCCACGTGGGGCTGCCTTCATCTCACCAAGGAGTCCTCTCTCCTGAGCACCCAGCAGTCTTGTGGACTGGTCCCCTGATACCAGTGTCACCTCAAACACCATGGAGCCAAAATAGAACTCAACGTCCCCTTTAAGTCTCTCCTCCCATTCCCGCATTCTCCACCCCATCGCCGTACCTCATTACCCTATCAGCCGGCTGGAAATCCGGAGGGACCCTTGCAGGCTAATGGCAGCCACCACTGTTTGATGCCTACTGTGTGCCAGGGACGATTATGATGAACAGTCCAGAGCTGGAGCTCCTGAGCACTAGTTGCTGATCACGTGACCCGGATGGGCTCCTGCGACTTAGCATTGTATAAATGTGAATGACTCCTGCCTCTAAGTGTTGGCTGCTGTGGGTGTGAAAGGATGCATGTCAAGCTGGATGTGATCATCCACGCCTGTAATCCCAGCATCTAAGAGGCTGAGGCAGGAGGATCGCTGTGAGTTCAAGGCCAGCCAGGGCTGCACAGTGAGTCCAAGGCCAGTCTGGATTACACAGGGAAAGCCTATCTCAAAAACAAACAAACACGCATAATAAAGGCACGGAGATCCATGTCTGTAATCCCAGAACTAGGGAGGCTGAGGCAGGAGGACTGCCACTAGTTCAAGCCTGGACTACATAGTGAGACCCTGTGTCCTTCCCCCGCAAAAAAATCACAATAAAAGACATGACATGGAAAAAAAAAAAAAGACACGACACGCCTCTAATCCCCCTCAAAATACTCCGCCTTACTTTCAATGCACTTACTCCATTGTTTTCGCCATTTTCTGAAACAGTGCTGGAAGTCCTCATTCCAGAGTATCTTTATGAGGTGTGATCAAAAATATGGTGAACGCTGCTGCTGAACTTTATGTAATGGAAACACAGGCTCCTAAAAAGATGGTGTGTCCTTATTCACTAGATCTGGCATCCTGCAACTTCTGCCTCCTCCCCAAAGTCAAAATGACCATGGAAGGTACACTTTCAACAGATTTGGGACATTAAGGCAGCCACAACAGCACAACTAAAGACACTCACAGAAGAGGACTTCCAGAACCACTTTAGAAGTGGCAAGAACAATGGGATAAGTGCGTTAGAAGTATGGGATGACATTCTGAGGGATTAATGACAGGGTATTTTTTACTGTAATAAAGTATTATTAAATTCACTGTATTTTGGCCAGGCGTGGTAGTGCATGCCTGTAATCCCAGCACTCAGGAGGCTGAGGCAGGAGGATTGTTGACAGTTCAAGGGGCTGGGGATTTAGCTCAGTGGCACAGTGCCTGCCCAACAAGCGCAAGGTCGTGAGTTCGATTCCCGGTATTGGGGGGGAAAAAAAAAAAAAAAGAGTTTGAGACCAGCCTGGGCTACAAAGTGAGCTCAAGCCAGCCTGAACTGCATAGTGAGACCCTGTCTCAAAAAGACAAAAAAATAAAAATAAAAAAAAGAAAGAATTCACTGTATTTTTTATCACACATTGTAAAATAAAAAAATAAATATCACACATTGCATAGATTACTTCATTTATGAGGTTGCTAGGAGTGGTTATCGAAGTGTCCCCTTTCTTCTCTCTCTGAGCTGAGTGGCATTTAGAGGGGTCGCTTCCATTTTCTAGCCTGTGACGAAGGCAATGGGAACCCTGGATTTAAGGAAATGAAGGGCAGACCTTTTTTCAAAGGCTCTGCCTCCTTCCTGGTCTAGCCACTCTCATGGTGCTGTGCTGCCTCCTGGCGGTGAGCTGGCCCTCAGGTGACAGTTCCATGCCACTGGGGTCCTCTGCTTTTCATCTGATGCAATTTAGGGTCTGAAGCAGTTTATACAAATACACAGCAAAGCGGAAATGCAAATATAGAAACATCACAATCACAGGACTCTATAAAAGTCAAGCCTAAGAAATAATGCAGAATGAAGAAGGGAAGGCACCCGCCCTCTTCTCCCCGTTTATAGCTGCAAAAAAGAAGCTTCTAGAACTTGCTCCGGAGTTGGCCACACTTGGAGCACGAGCACTAAAGGAGAGCATACCTGGAGGCCTGTGCCTTCCTCTCCATGGTG